GGTTTGATGCACGCTGCAGCAGGATGCCTCCGTGAGCACCAAAAGCCCTTGTGATCCTGCGCTGCCGCCGATTCGGCAGCTTCCACATGCCGGGGAAAACGATGGACGGATTTGGGATGGTTCGGACAGCGGCGCGTCCGGAGCGGCGCTTCCCGGCACCCTGTGATCCCCGGGAACGTTGTGCTTCTTCAGCTGCCCGGCTGAGAGACCCTTCTCCAAGACGAGAGCTGGTTCGATCCAAACGGCACCCCGGAGCGGCTCCCGTGCCGCAGAAACGGGCCAGGGCCGGCGCTTTAGTGCGCTTGTGCCAATTACGGAAAATCTGATTATGGCCCCTGGGCTGCTCTTATCTCCCTAAGTTTTCCTCTAAGGATTCAGCTGCTCCCGCAAGAAGAAACCTGCTGTGGAGAGAGCCCTCCGGTGCTCCAGCTGCAGGTGAAGGATGAGCGCGTCTGTGCAGCTGCGTGGGAAAAGGCTACGGGTTGATTTGCTGGATCTCGGGGGAATTTTTGGGGCTGAGCAGTGCTGTTCAGCAAGGCTGCTCGTCTGCCCTGGGTGCTCCGTCAACGCCGTGCCGGGGACGCGGCAGCCCAGACCTGGCGTGGATGGGTGGATGGCGGAGCGATCCCGGCAGCCTTGGGCGAGTTCTCTCCTGTTTCGGTGCCAGCCCCGTGCCCCGGAGCAGCCCGAATTCCGCAGGCTCCTGGCAGAGGCTTTTGGGGCTCAATCCTGGCCTTGCCAAGGTGCCGAGCACGGAGGCGCTGGGGACATCGGGTGACACTGAGGCGGGCGGCAGGCGATGCCGCCGCAGTGACGGGAGCGCTAAACAGAGCGCAACACCCCGACAGGGCCTGGCTGCCTTAGCATAAAGATTGCTGCAAGGCTTTATTTCCCCCAGGAGCAGAGCACACAAGTCTGTGGCATTAACTGAGGAGCTGTTTTTCCTGCTCACAGCATGGGCGGGCGCTCTGTGCGCGGTGAAGGACGGACGGCGTCGCCGCAGACGCGCTGCAAAGCTCCTGTCCCGCTCTGCTCCGCGGCGCGGCCTCGAGGAGGAAGAGGAAGGGAATATGTTGAGCACCGAGTCGCTTAGCGTGCGTCTTGGCACGGGTCTGCGTGAGCCATCGCTGCCCCTTTGCTGCCTGCTTCAGAAGCGAGCAGGGATATTTTTAAAAATCCCCGTTCTGATACAGAGGGAAGGCTCGGGCGGGTGAGTAACGCAGCGGGGCTGGCGGCGGGTGCGCTGCGAAGCGGAGCGGGGCTTCGGTGGAGAAAAGCATCATCCCAAACAGAGCTTTTTTGCCCCCAGTCCGTCCCCAGGACATGAGGTGCTGGTGGGAGAGCTGAATTTCCCCCAGAAGAGCAAATGTTCCCCCTCACTGCGCTGTTGTGAACGTGCTGCGCTGGAAGGTGCCGCAGCCGCCTTCCCGGGCTGCGCCCGAACAGCCCTGTGCCTTTTCTTGCATTATTTCCCCGCTGCATCAAAAACACCCCATCTGCCACCTTTAGTCTCGCAGGACTGAGCTTCTCGGCCCTGCTTTGCCTGCGGGAGGGGAGTTGGGGGCTGCTTTCCTGCTTTCCCAGCAGGATGGCTGCTTTTCCAGCCCGGCTCGCTGGCCTGCGCACGGGAGACCTGGGCGCTTTTGGGCAGCATCCCGCTCTTTTGGGCAGATTTCCACATTGATCCTTAATCCGTTTTCTAGCTGTTTTGGGAGCCGGTGCTGTATTTGCCCGCCCGTGTGCAGCCCTCGGCGGCCCCACGTGCCCCTGGGCACCGTGTCCCGGCGGCTGCGCCCTCCTTCGCGTGTCCCCGCGCTGCGGAGCGGAGCGCCCGCTCCTCCATCGCATTCAATTCACATTAAATGACGAGTTCCCGTTTGAGCTAATTAGTTTCAGCGCGTGCTGGGTCACCGCAGCAGCCTTGTCCCGTCCTTGCAAGGATGCTAAAGGTGACACTGGCCTAACCCGGAGCGGTAGAAGCACCCGCGGGGGCTGTTCTGCGCACACGGGAGCTCCTCGTTTTAGCTGCGTCCTGCACGTGTGCCAGGAGCGGGGCTGCTCTTTTCCCCCTCCTTTTGAACCCTGGAGTGATTTCAGGAAACAGCTTCTCGTTAGCCAATATAATCGCGCACCAAGTTAATCCATGCCTCCAATTTAATTTTTAGGGCTTTAATTAAGGAGTTAACGCGCGGAAAGCTGCAGAGAGCGGTGGGTCGGCGCGGGCTCCTGCGGCCGGGCAGGAT